AGGAGGTTCTATTTAGTTATCATGGCGAATCACCGTTGATAGGTCTGGTCTTTCCTGGTACTTATCTGGGTCTCAGAGGGGCTGAAAAAAGAAATACCACTTAAATAAACCCATATGACCTAGTAGGCTTCCATACACCCTTACAGCAGGTGATGAGCCACAGGTTTGTCCAGGGCTGGTTCTGGCAGCTGTGAGCAACTGGCTAAGACTCAAAGGGCCAAAGAGCGAGTCCTTTGGTCCTTGCCCTTCGGCTTCTGCCAAAAGTGTGCACTGCTGGCCACGCTCGGCTTCAACTTGCCTGCAGACCTGGAAGGAAAGGTTCATCTCTGCTTTTATTAATTTTCTTAATTTCCCAATTATCAGCAGAAAAAGGCAGCTGGGTAGGACTTAATTCTTGTTGTATCTATATAAACAGACATTCACTTCCATCACTGCCCTTACATAGGTAGTCACAGGCAGGGGTCATTTCCTGCAGGAGCGCACAGGAGCGGAGCTCCGGCAGTAAAGACCCACCCCCTGCTCCCAGCAGCCCTCAGTCAGAGCAAGAAGCAGCCAGGTAAGTTGCAGAGCCCCCCGGTCCAAAACAGTCCAGTGGCACCTTTAAGACCAAGTTTTATTCAGGTACAAGTTCTCCCTCCTCTGCCAGGACAGATCTGCACGTCCCCCCCCAAAAAAAGCTAGCAATCCAAAACAGTCCAGTGGTGCCTTCTGACACACTGCCGGTGATGTCAGGGGGTGTGGCATATGCAAATAAGTTATGTTAACGAGTTATGCTAATGAGCTCCTGCACCTCTTTTTCTACAAAATTACCCCTGGTCACAGGGATGTGAACTTCTTTCCTGTGCTGTGGTTCAATATTGGTCTGCAGTGGTTTGTATATGAATGATGCAGCCCCTTATGCACAGCTGTTTGTGTGAACCTTTAAAGCGCCATTGACACTATCCAAATGCTGATCAGGTGGGAAAGACTTGTATCTCTCTAGAGATACTATGGAGTTGGGGATGAGCTGTGGCTCAGTGGTAGAGCAGCTACTTGGCATGAAGAAAGTCCCAAGTTCAGTCCCCAGCATCTCCATCCAAAAGGCCCTGGTGATAGGTGAGAAGAAGAGGAGGAGGAGGAGGAGGAGGAGAAGAGGAGGAGGAGGAGAAGGAGGAAGAGTTGGTTTTTATACCCCGCTTTTCACTACCTGAAGGAGTCTCAGAGCCTTCCCTTCCTCTCCCCAACAATAGATACCCTGTGAGGTAGGTGGGGCTGAGAGAGTTCTGAGAGATCTGTGACTGACCCAAGGTCACCCAGCTGGCTTCATGTAGAGGAGCGGGGAATCCAACCCAGTTCTCCAGGTCTGCCGCTCTTAAACAATACACCACACTGACCTCTATCTGCTAACCTGGCAAGACCTCTATCTGCCAGACCTCTGTCTGCTAACCTGGCCAGCCACTGCCAGTCAAGAATAGGAAATAGGTCAGTACCAAGGGTCTGATTCAGTATAAAGCAAGTTCACATGTTCATCCTCCGAAATCAATGGGCATGGTGGGTGGAGGAGGCGACGTGCTCAGTCCACCTTACAGTGTTCTCCTTTCCTTCCAGGGACACTCAGGCTAAACAGACAACTGATTTCATGGGTGGGGGGAAAAAAGCCTATGCTCATAATTTAGAGATTTCCCAATAGTGAAGATGGGAGGAAGTTATATAGCACCAATGTATATTGACTTCCCATCTTGGCAAACAGGAGGATTGATTGTTCTTCAAAAGCCAGGTCAATATTTGCCTCCTGCATCAATAAACCCCTGATTTTTCTGCTCCTATTGAAGTCGATAGCTGTTTATAAAGGCAATCTAAATCCAGTCCCAAAGCAGGGGAAACAACTGTCACCTTAGGCATACACCCAGCCAGGAAGACAAGCAGTTGGAGTGTAGATGGGGACGGATGCTGCCGTTTGCCGTGCAGATAGGTCATGTATGGTTCTTTTCTTCCCTGAGACCAACACCATGAAATCACACCGTCTGGGAGCTGTGTCCATAGTTGCATGCTTATGCGTTCCTGCAAATTGTGCTGTATAAGCGTTGAATTTAAAGAAAACCAAGTGTGCTTAATTGCTTTGTAAAGCACAGGTTTTTGGTTCTCGCAAGGATAACAGGGGAAGCTTTGAGTGTAAAAAGAAGCTGGAAAATACCTGGGTAGCAGCACAGTACATAAGCCTGAACTTTTTCTCTGAGGAAGGATCTGCATTGCAGAATTAAATGAGTTTAACAGTCAGCCCTCCTTCCTAAGCACCCTGGGAACTGTGGCTAGGAACTGGGGTGGGAGTGGGGGTGGTGGCAGCCGAGGCTTCCGATGCAGAATTCTCAACACCTTTACTAAACCACAAATCCTCATGCTACACGAATATACAAATATGCCCTTTTCTGTTTTTTACATGTTGTGGTTGCCGCTGCTCCCAAATCTTTCTTTTATGCTATTTTAACACCATGTTGCACCATTTCCATGTGAGTAAGATGGGAAGGAGGGAGAAATAGCAGAAACAAGTGCAAATTTAATGGGGGGAATTCATCAGGAGGAAGCAGAAAAGGGCATGAAAATAAAGAACGATGGGTTTGATTTGCAAATGGAAATAGCACAATAGAAAGGGAGATTTTCAAGTCGAACTAACAGGGATGAGTAATTTGAAATCATCCCTGCCATAAAGGAAGCCATCCATGTAACACTGTTAGTGGATTGTATCTTGAGATTTTACTGTATCAAAATGTGCCTTCTCCCTACATTTATTTATTTATTAAAACCGTTAAATCCCACCTTTGCTGTAGGTTCAAGGTGGCTTGGAATAATAATTAAAATGTCCCCAGCTAAAAACCAAAGATAAAATAACAAACCCAAAATCTCCCACCCCCCCAGAAAAGATACCTGTATTCAAGCCCCCTCAAAAGTCCTGGCAAACAGTCAGGCCTGGCAAGGAGCCCCCCCCTCTTCCGGGAGCACATTCCACAGAGCCGGAGCCATGATCGGTCACCCTAAGTGGTGGGGTAGCCAAGAAATGGCTACCTGATGACTATAGAAGTTGGGAGGGGCTGTGGCTCAGTGGTAGAGCATATGCTTGGTATGCAGAAGGCCCCAGGTTCGATCCCTGGCATCTGCAGTTCAAGGATCATGTAGTAGGTGATATTAAAGACCTCTGCCTGAGACCCTGAGACACAAGATAGGCTCCTAAAGCTTAGAAAGTTATAGATCTCTACAGAGTTACCATTGCCTTGAAGCTTTCTGTAGCTCTCTGGGGAAGCACATGGTCAATGGCTGCCTCCTTCAGACTCAGTTAAGTGTTCTGTCTGCCCTGATGGACCCAGCATGAAAATAGCCCTTCCTCCTTGCACCCTTGAGTTTTATCACCTCTTTTTTCCCCACCCACTGACCAGGTCAGGCCAGGTCAGAGACACTTTTCCTGAAGTCTCCAGAATTTCCTTCCTGAAGTCTCTCTAGTATCTAACTCCTCAAATCTCTGTTCGCTTCTTGAATGGGGGGGAGAGCTTGACCATCCCATTGTCTAGACCTATTAGCATTTATATAAAGGTGGGCTGAGGTAAGTCTGGAAAACCTCCAAAGGAAAACAATATATATATATATATTCAAATACGGTGTAAGATTTAACTACTGTCTGCTGAAAACTGATTGAAGTCTTCCCTGAGACAATGAGGAAGGGGCCAGTGACAGGCGCCTGTCCCTTTTTATCCTGTTCTACCAGCCCCCCTTTTACCCTATTGGTGCAACAGAGTGAGACAGAAACAGCCGGTCAGGTCCCTCAAAACCTGTGGAGGGAGTAGAAAGTAAAGGAGAGTTTTACTGTTGCTCAGACAGATAGGGACAAGAAGTCCTTTAGGTAGGATTTGGCTCTATTTCACTGTCCATTCAGGTGGTGTACTGGGTTATTGTACTGATCTGGAGTGACGCCCTCTGGTTAGAGTTGCCCGCTCCAGGTTGGGAAATTCCTGGAGATTCTGGGGGTGCGGCCTGGTTTGGGGAGGAAAGGGACTTCAATGGGGAATAATGCCATAGAGTCCCCCCTCCAAAGCAACCATATTCTCCAGAGGAACTGATCTCTCTTGCATGGAGATCCATTGCAATCCCAGGAGATCTCCAGCGACCTCCTGGAGGTTGGCAATCCTACCATATTGTGCTTTCACACATGTTAAACAATGCAGTTTCAATCCACTTCAGTGACTGTTTGCAAGTGGATTTTGCCATTTCACACAATAAATTCCAGTTGAGTTCACTGGAAATGGATTGAAAGTGTGCTGTTTAGTCTGTATGAAAGTGCCCAAGGCTTGTCTTTCCAGTACTGGGGACTGTTATAGGCCCACTCTGCATCTAGCATTTGCTCCTCGGTTTTACCAAACCCACACTGGAACAGAAATTCCCCTCTGCATTGCATGCCACTTTCACTTTGATGGATTGTCGGACTTTATGACAGCGTCCAGACTACATGCCAATTTCACTTCCTTTGATCTCTCAGTTTTATGGTACTGTCCACATAGATTTATGGCCGTTTTATGGCCATTCATGGGTGACTCTGCAGTCAGTAGGGTGTGCCCCCGGGGTATTTTAATGTGGTTTAGAGCCTTATCTTTTCCTGTTCCAATGTGGGTTTGGTAAAACAACGGAGTGAATTCTAGATGCAGAATGGGCCATAGTCGACTGAAGTGAACCTGGCTTCGAAGAATGTGGCTGGGTTTGAGATTGCTCTGCTAGTGGTGGACAGAGGCAAGTTTTACACTGGCTACTTCTTGCTGCATCACTGTCTTAGCTCTCAAGTCACTTGCAGCCTATCGACTTCTTCAGATATACTAAAATTCTACATGTGGTCACCTGGAGATGACTCATATTCACCACAGGTGTAGAAGGAAGTGACTGTTTACAAGCAGCATTCCTGTTTGGGTAGCAGTTTCTTAGCAACTAACCAGCCTATGAGAGTGCAATGTTTAGCGGGTTGCTTTTCTTCCCCTCATTCCCAGGTGTTTTGCGACTATCACGGCCATTCCCAGAAGAAGAATGTGTTCCTGTACGGATGCAGCATAAAGGAGACTTTGTGGCAGGCCGGATGCAGCATCGACACCAGTGTGGTCACGGAGGATGTGGGCTACAGGGTAAGACTTGCTTCTGATAGCACAGAATCCAGATGTGGGGCTGCAGATAGAAGTCCCTTACCCACTGCGAGGGTCTCTTGGAAATTCTGACTCCTCCTCATGATAAGGCACAGATGAATGATCCCTCACAAGTGCTGGAGTGTGTCCCAGAGTTTCTTCAAAGGCACTGGCTCGTAGGTGCCCAACTCTTTTCTCCTGTGCTTCTTCCACAATTGAAAGAGCCCCTCCAAAGCTACAGTTAGCCCTGTGGGTGGAAGGAGACAGGTTCAAGCATGGTGCACCTTTCTTTTAAAAAGTACATTGTTGGAAGAGGCATGGAAGGAAAGGCTTAAGCACAGGGTTCCCTCTGCCAAATTCCTTGCACTTGTGGTCTCTTTATGCCACTACATTTAATTTCCCATGCTGCATTTTAATGTTAACTGCTTTGCATTTTATCTTGGCTCTGTATTGGCTTTGCTCATCATGACCTTTGGCCAGAGGGGCATAGCAATAAAGGAAAGGCACAGGGGTACCATCCCCAGTGCTCTGAATGAAGTGTGTGTGTGTGAAAAAATGGCCACTGGGCCAACAGCATGATATCATATCTATGTCCTACTTCTCTAGAAATAGCAGGAAACACTGGTTTTACCATAGAGTTTCCGGTGATTCCTAGAGAAGTGATGGCATTCCATTGCTGATGGCTGCCCCTCCCCCCC